TAGTAATACTTTTTTACCTTAAATTATTTTTTCTGATATTAATATTGCCATAGCAATTTTCTTTTGGTTGGTATATCTTTTCCCATTTTTTTACTTTCTACCTTTCTATCCCCTTTTGTTTTAGTACTAGATATAAAACAAAGGCCATATATATGCCATTTGCAAGAGATGCATCTAAAACAAAAAAATTTTAGTTGGAGCATTATTCCATTTACATTTAATGTAATTACTAAAGTATTTGAGTCAAAATTACACTCTTACTTTATACCTTCTATTTTGTCTTGTTTTATGTTTCTTTTTCTCTCCTTTCTTGACTTTTATTTAGATGACTAAGTATTTTTTAATTACTCCATTTTCCCCTTTACTAATTGGAAGTTATACTCTGTTTTTATTTTTTTAGTGCAGGGGCTGGCAAACTATGACCTGTACACCAAATCTAGCTAGCTACCTGTTTTTGCAAATAAAAATTTATTGGAAGAGTCACACCCATTTAATATAATATTTATGGCTGCTTTTATGCTACAACAGCAGAGTTGAGCAGTTATGACAGAGAACAAAGGGCCTGCAAAGACTAAAATATTTGCCAACCTTGTTTTTAGTGGATACCTTTTAAAATGCAGAATGAATACTTACTTTATCAATGTCTTAAATCAATCAAAACCTTTATCCTCTTTATGGATAGATCAGGCCCTTAGACTACTTTAATGCTATTTACCCCTCCCCAAATATGTTACTGTAATTAGGATTTTTTTTTAAAATAAACTTTTTATTTTGGAATAACTTTAGATTTACAGAAAAGTTGCAATGATAGTACAGCAAGTTCCCATATACCCTTCACCTAGTTTCATCTAATGTTAACATCTTGTATATCTTCGGTACATTTGTCAAAACTATGAGATTAACACTGGTATATTTACTATTAACTAAACTCCAGACTTTATTCAAATTACAACAGTTTTCCTGCTAATGTTCTTTTTCTGTCCGGGATCCAACCAGGGGTTGCATTTAGTTATCATGTCTCCTGAGTGTCCTCTGGTCTATGACGATTTCTCAGTCTTTCCTTGTTTTTCATGACCTTAACAATTTTAAGGAATACCGGGCAGGTATTTTGTAAAATGTTCCTAAATTTGGGTTTCTGTGATGTTTTCATTATGCTTAGACTGAGGTTACGTGTTCTTGGAAGGAAAACCACAGAGAGGTAACATGCCTGTAGTGGATTGAATTATGCCCCCCAAGACTCACTGAAGCTTGAATTGTGTCCCCCGAGTTTTATGTATTAGAAATTAGCCCCCACCATGACTGTTAAGAGGGCGGGAAATCCTATCATGGTAATTGAAAGGTGGGGCTTTGAAGAGGTGATTGGATTGTAGGACCATGCAGTAGTGAATGGATTAAAAATGGTGGTCAGGGGCATGGTTCTGAGGGCTTTAAGAGAAGAGGAGAGTCTGTCTTTCTCTCTCTCTGCTTCCACCATCTTGCAATGTGAGACCCCTGAGTCACTGCTGCCACCACCAGATGGACTTTGGACTTCCCAGACTCAGAAACTGTAAGCAATAAATGTCGTTTTTCTTTATAAATCACCCAGTTTCAAGCATTTTGTTACAAGCAACAGGAATGGACTAATACAATGTCCTTCTCATTACATCGTATCAGGAGGTCCATGATGTGCACTGGAGGTGCTAATCTTGGTTATTTGGTTAGGGTAGTGCTTGCCAAGTTTCTCCACAGTAAAGTCACTATTTTTCTCTTTCCATACTCTGTTCTTTGGAAGCAAGCCCCTAAATCTAACCCATATTGGAGGTGTGGGGGGTGTGGGGGTATGGGGGTGTGGAGTGATTAAGCTCCATTTCCTTGAGGGAAATATATTTACATATATTATTTGGAATTCTTGTGTAGGGCAGATTTCTCTCCCCCCCCCCTGCTTTATTTATTTAATCATTTATTTATATTGGTATAAACTCATGGTTATTTATTTTGTACTTTGTGTTACAGTTCAAAAGTACATTATTTACTTTATTGCTCAAACTGTTCCAACTCTGGACATGAGGAGTTCTTCACATTGGCTCCTGTGTCCCTTTGACTTATCTTTATAATTGTGGAGTTTTTGAGCAATTCCTTGCTTTCTGGCACTACAGGATACTCCAGGACTCTTCCTCCTGTCTCTTTTCCTACTCTATAACACCCTAGTCACAGATTAAAAATGACCCAATTCTTCTACCATGATGGAAGCATTTTGCATCATCTAGATGCAGTGCCTGTCCTCTCAGCCCTAGGATTAGACCCACCTGTCCAAACCATGCCTAAGTTTACACTGAATCTTAGGCATTTTTCTGTGTTTGTAGAGCCCATCCTTGGAAGAAGCTTGAGGCCCCTCCAACTCCTACCTGGTCCCAATATCCTCCTTCAACCTTATAGCCTATCTAATATTCAAGACGTGGCCCCAGCTTGTCTAACCTTCAAGACCACCTAGGGTATGAAAAGACTAGCTAGCTGATTTGGAGGAGAGATCGTGAGTTCCATATTTTTACATATTAAGCTTGAAGTGTGCACGATGTTCAAATATCTCCTGCCCCATCCCCTCTTGCTTTTGATGCAGCAAATAGATATAGCAGGAAATTGTTTCCTTTATCTTCCACAATCCAATCCAATCTTCTGGGCCAGGCCCTTTAGTCATTTCAGCACAATTACAGGACTGCCCTGTGTTTACAATAGATTATTCACTACTGTTTTTGCTGATGATTGCTTTCTCCAAATAAAGTTGTAAAAGTTGACACCTTACCATTTACCTCTAGATATTTCTAAGAAATGTTTGAACTTCTTCAACTCTACCTACAGCACAGATTCCATTGACAATGACCTGACTCTTTGATATCAGATCCACATACCAATGCAAGTCTCCAAACATTCTCAGGTTTTGTTTGGCTGTTCCTTTACCGCACCCCAACCTCCTTTCTTCCAAAACTTTCCTTGGTTCTTGGCCTACCCTGTAATCTCCCAAAACAATTCTTTTCTTTTCTTTTTTTTCCTTTTTGTCTTTTTTCGTGACCAGCAAAGGGACCGCAACCCTCGGTGTCGTGCCCGTACCGCGACCGGCAACGGGATCGCAACCCTCGGTGTTGCGCCCGCACCGCGCTCAACCAGTGAGCGGACCAGTCTCTATATGGGATCCAAACCCTCGGCGAGAGTGCCACCGCACTCCCAAGCGCCGCACTCTACCGAGTGCACCACCGGGCCGGCCCTCCCAAAACAATTCTGGCAGCTCTCTACTTATCTTACTTACTTCAACCCGGTCTGTCTTGTATTAGAATTGCTCATATGTGCATTTGAGTTTCTAGGGGTGGTAATCTTTGTCTCCTCCTCAATGCCAGGGTGTGTCCAGCCTCTAAAGTCCCCTAAGGATGAGCAGTACTCCATCTTGTTCATAAGACCTAAATATCACTATTCAATTATATGAGAATTGAATTTACTTGATATATTTGCACCATCCAAGTATGTGGCAAGTAAAAGAACTCTGGGCATCTGGACTCCTCCTGCATCCAGCCTTGGGAAAACCCAACCCAGCACCATAATCCACCACCATGTGGGAGTGGGGGTCCTGCACATGTTGGCATCATCAGCAGGATCACGGGGTGCTCTACCTTCTCAGGCCCTAGAAGCTGACTTGACCTTGCTCATGATGCTAAGATGAGAAATTAATATACCCAATGAAAACACATGGGAGAGAGTTGTGGGCAAAGAGAAGCAGAGGGCCTTTGCAGGATCCTTTCCTAACTTTAGCCATCTTGAGCTGCAGAGTTAGGAAGAAATGTTTGTAGAAGATGATAGACAAAGGGGTGACACTCAGAAGGCACTTTGAGAGCGGTAGTTTGGGAGAGAAGAGTTGGGTGAAGATCTAAGGCAGCAGTGTAAAGGCATGAAACAGGCACACAGAGCTCAGATAGGAGCTGGAGGCCCACCGATGTACAGAAAGGCCTTGTGGCTGCCTTAAAAAGGTTGATTATTCTATCCTCATAAAACCGAAATGTGGTTCCTTAGCAGTCAACCACCTGCCTAAAAGTTCCAGTGACCTTCTTTACAGAAAGGTTTTGTCCCCAGAGGGTATGAAAACCAGGTAGCTAGTACCTGGATATTTTTTGGGCACAAAGGGGAGCCAGTTCTCTACTATGGAAGCCACACATTGAAAAGGCACTGAGGAGCTGGCATGAACCTGGGATGAACACGGGTGCCTTTGATTTGTCAAAAGATGGGACAGCTAAGGTCTTAATTGTACAGAATGGGATTTCTAGTGTTTGTTGGATCCCCTGCCCAAAAGGTGTTCAGCACCTCCAGAGTTGCTTACATTCCTCTTACCAACAAATGGCAGGGGATGCAACCCTCACTTCCTGGTCTCAGGTGTGGAGGTAGTGTTCATTCTAGTGACAAGGACCCTGTCATGTCTAATCAGCATTGCCTTTTCCTTTTTGTCTTATGTTAGGGACACAACTTCTTCCTCTCTTTCACTGGAATTATCTAAAAGTTCCCACCTTCCCTTGTTTGTGTGTCTGTATGGGACTGAAGTGTGTGTGTGCATGTGTGTGCACATTTGCCTGCATGTTGGAGATGGGGGATGTGGGGGTGCTGCAGTAAAATTCGTGTCAGAGGCCAATGAAATGGGGGGTATGGGGTGAGTGAGAATTACTAAAACAAATCTGCTGTTGGGACCAACTCATGCCACCATCTTGTCCCACCTCTAATATACTGAGTCTGTTTTACTGACTTTAGAAGGTTAACTTTCCAAAGCAAAAGATTTAGTTTTATTTCTGAAATCAGAATAAGCCAGTGAAAATGGAAACCACTGGGTTGAAAGCAAGAGCTCTCCCCCAAGGTGGAGAGAATCTTTCTCCCCACCCTGGGCTGCTGGTGCCCCTGGAAACTGAGCCTCTCCCTCCCACCATATGTGCCACTGGCACAAGTCCCCTTGGGCTGGGCTGGGACCTCTTCACATGCCCAGAAACAGCAGTTCACTGCATGGCAGCCTCTACAGTCTCGAGGGGATCTGCATTGCGCTTCCAACCTGGGTCAGCAAGGGCAATCCTGACAGCCTCACAGACTGGAGCTAGAGCCTCACAGAAGGAGCTACAGCTAGGTGTGCCTTGGCCTCATCAGGGATTGAACACCAGAATAGGAGGCTCAGCAAGGCTGTGGTGATCACCTGTAGGGAGGAAGCAGGAAGAAGGGAAGCCTGAGAAAGTGAGATCATCTGAGGAAGAACTCTGGAGGAGCTAGAGCATTTGGAGTGAGATTCAGGAGCCAACAGGCTGGATGCAAGAATAGGACATTATCAATAGAAAATGGTAATGAGGTGGGTCAAGAGCAGAGAGAAACATTTACCCTGACCCTGAAAACTCCTATTCATCCTTCAAAACCCAGCGCAAAGGCTCCTCCTCCCTCTCTTTCCCGACTCCTCTCCTAGGAAGGATAGAAGACCCCTTTTCTGTGCCCCTGTAGTACCTTTTCCATACCTCTGTGATCACCTGTTGCAGTCATGTCTCCCCCATAAAGAGGGAGCTCCTCAGGGGCAGAATGTCACTGAGCTTCATAAACCCAATGCCAAGCAAAGTTCCTGAAAGTGCTTGATAAGGGTTTGTTGAATGACCAGCAGTGGGCAAGATACCTGTTCCTTCTCATTTGCAACCCGGATGTGGCAGGAGATGGGAGCAGCCCGAATATTATCTGACAGTGGCTGAGGAAAGTGGATTGCTTGAACGAGGCTCTCGATGCATTGAGCCTTGGACTGTCCAGAGAACCGCTATGGAAGAAGTGGTAAGGTCAGTGTCAGGCTAGAAGGTCAGGGGAACTGAGAAGGGGTCTAGGAAGAAGAAAGAACTAGGAGAGTGGGGGCTGGGATCCCGAAGACAGGCTGTAGAGGCTACAGAGAATTCATCCCTGTGACGATCCCAAACGCATAATCCCCAGGTGTAAAGAAAAACAGGGTTAAAGGGGCTGGTGATGGGCCTTGATTGGCCGGGTTAAACTGGAGAATTAATGGAAAATTGGTCAAATTTTCAGCTGTGTCCCATCAACCCCACAGATTGGTAATCTTAAACCGAACTCCCTCCCTCCGTTTCCTCCCTGCACCTTGTTCATCCACAAATGCTGCTTCCTTTTGCCACCACCCTCCCCTCTGTCTAGCTCAGCACCGTCCAATAGAAACACAATGCAAGCCACATGTCATTTTAAGTTTTCTAGTAGCTGCATTAAAAAAGAAACAGGTGAAATCAATTTTAATAATATATTTTATTTAAAGCAATTATCCAAAATGTTTCAACATGTAAGCAATATCAAAAATTATTATTGAGGGCCGGCCCGGTGGCGCACTGGATAGTGCGCCGCTTGGGAAGCGTGGCGGCACTCCCGCCTGAGGGTTCGGATCCCACATACAGACCGGTTCCCGCTCACTGGCTGAGCGAGGCACAGGAGCAACGCCAAGGGTTG